GTCTAGTTTGTATTTTGATTCACTTTAATATTTGATCAAAAAAATTTTAATTTATTTATTTCAAAATTGATTTTAAAATTTAAAAAATAACAAAAATATAATTAAATTAATTTTTCTCATTCTTTCAATTAAATTTTTTTATTTTAAAATTTGAAGAATTTAAAATAACTTATTCGCAAATGGATAAAAGTTTTTCGGTGACAAGCATGATGATGATGACGACGACGATGATGATGGGATGAAAATGCTATGATGATGATGATGATGACGACAAAATGATAATGATTATGGCTGCGAGAACGATGATGATGATGATGACAATGATATGATATAAATAATGATAATGACGATAATGAAGATATGGACTTTATATTATTTTTTGTATAAATTATCAAATTTATTAGTTAAATATTATCCATTATTATTATTTTTGCTGTTTTATTATTATAATTATTGTTAAATTCATAATAAAATAGTATCATTTACATTTATTAACCGTTGTTTCAACGTAATGATACAAACATCTTTTTGTTTGAAAAATTTTTTTTTCTGAAATTCTGAAAAAAATCGCGATGTTTATTTTTCAACTTCAAATTTAATTCAATTTAGTTTAAATAAATATAAATAAATTTGATGAGAAATGATTTGAAGAATGTTCAATAAAAAAATGCAATCAAATCATTCTTGTCTGTCGTATTTTTTAATCTTGAAAATTAAAATCACATAATCTGAGTTGACATACTTTTTGTTCTTTTTTAAATTTTATATTTTTTTAAGATTATAGTTAATTACAGTTGACAGGAGCCCAACAGGCATGTGATTGATTGCCTGGACCTCCCCTCCATTCATTAACCACATCACTGCGTTTCAGCCTTTTAAAAAAAATCAGATTTCAAGACTTATTTAAAGAATTAAAATTAATTACGATGTATTTTTTGCTAATCCAAGTGTTTTTCAGTGAGTGAGATGCTACTGAAATAAAATAAATTGACCAACGAGAAAAGTTTATTCAGTGTCTCTGTCTTTCTCAGTTTCTCTCTCTCTTTCTCAGTTTCTCTCTCTCTTTCTCTCTCTCTCTTTCTCTCTCTCTTTCTCTCTCTTTCTCTCTTTTTCTTTCTCTCTCCATTGTTTTTACCTTCCTATCTTTACTGAATTATTTTATTAGAAACTTATTTTTAGTTCCGCCCCTAGTCATTTAAAGTTACATAAATGATCTAAAAACAAAAGACAAACACAACAAAATTATAAAAAAAAAAGTTCATGTTGTTAGGTTTGTGGGTTGGAGAAATGGATGAAAATGGAACACACTCGTATTATTCATTTGGATTTGTGACGTGTCTGCCAACTGCAGCGTAGTTGTGCACCACATAGCATATGTATTTTGAGAACTTTTTATAATAATATTTGTCATTTTTTAGTTCTACATCAAACTTTTGTCATAAATATTTTGAAATTTAGACGATAGTTTGATTTGAAATTGTTAAAAGTCTGTTATGGATGTATGTGTAACCGATAAATCATGGAAGCATTAGATTGTAATTATACCGGGCTTATGCATTTGAATTTTTTTGTAATTTTTTCTATAGATTATGATGTGTGATTGTATAGTAAAGGTTTGTATTGTTTTTGGCGTGTTTTTTCAAACGCCTGTGTGTTTATGATGTGTGTTCATTTGAATGTATGTTGTATGTTTGTGATATGTGTTTAACTTTGTTTAAATGTAAACGTTTGTCTGAACTCCGTCTGCACGTAAAAACTTGACATCACACATGTTTCGTACGAAGGTGGAGTTCTGTTTGCATTCGAAACAGGTCACTACGAAATAGTTCCAGGAATCTTTGACTTTTACTGATTACACCATATCCAAGTTTAATTTTTCAGTTTTATCCTATCCGCATGAAATTAAAATTTGGCACGAAGTTCAAAAACGTTTTGTAAAATCTATCATCGAATGAATACAAAACACCCGAAACAGTCAGCAAACAAGAAATACATTCAGTGCATTACTATCCCACGCGTTATCATTCAACAAGATTGTCACAAAAAATATTTACACAAAACATTTTTCATACAAGAGTCTATACAAATAATACATCAGATGTATTTATCTAGACTCGAGGGAAATATTCAGCGTGTATTAGATAGATACATTTTGTATGTTATCTCATACACACATCCCATATATGTGTCAAACACATCATATTGTACACATCGCATAGAAATACGTCACATGCAAACATTTGCGTATGACTATACTACGTACAAATATTTTGTATATATCACGTACATACATTTGCATAGCATATAGGTACCTCGCATACATTTCATCCATTTTTGTGTTATTTTCATATATTGAATAAATTTATGCGTCTTTTATACATGTCGGTTTTAAATGGAAAAAGTTATCAAGAGATAAAATGTAGTGACTGTTGACAAAACAAAACGACATACATACATACATACATACAACACACATAAATACATACGTAGATACACACGAATACATACATACACACAGATACATAGAGACATACACATATACATACATACACATACACACAGATACAATTACATATAGATACATACACACATACACGCATACACGCATAAGCACATACCTACGTGAAAGTTGCGATGTAGTTAACATTGATATCAATAACTTGTCGTATTGGCAGTTCTGACTGTTGTTAAAACAATAATTGTGATAATAAAAGTGATAACGACCTTACCTCTTCATTACATTCCATTTAAACCAATTGCATCAGTAAAATGTTTTTTATATATGTATTACACTATGATATACAAACTATGGCCAACAAAGATTTTCTCTATGATCATAAAATTGATATTGTTGTTTGATTGCTTTTTGTTGTCTTTTAGTGCTATTTTAATATGGGCATATATAACTTACGTTTAAGCCCATTATTGATTTATATTTATATTTATTTATTTATTTATTTATTTATACAGACTTAACCACAATGCTAATCAAACTAAATTAACGCCAGTGAAAACATTCTAATGCGTTTTACAGATAGGTAGGTCACAATCATCACCCTCGCCGATATCGCGATGAAATTAAATCACGAAGTTTTTCAAATGTCAAGGTCGGTTCCTTTCTTTATTGTGATAGGATTACCATGTACGTGCTTATGCATGTGTGTGTGTGTGTGCATGTGTGTGTGCATGTGTGCATGTGTGTGTGTGTGTGCGTGTATGTGTGCGTGTATATATAAGTGATGCAAATATACAAGAAAGAACTCGTTTAATAAGAATTTTCATTGTAGCTAACATTTTTATAAAAAATTTTGTTGTTATTTATTTTATTATTATTATTATTTCGAGTTTTTAAGATTATCAAACTTACATAAGTACTGGTTTAAAATAGAAACCAAAGTTCAGGTATATAGATTTTATCGTTTCAAATTACAACAAAAAAATAACAATAAATGGATTTGATTATTATTTAAAATCATTTTAATTCAAAACTTATTCAACATATATATATATATATATGTGTGTGCGTGTGTGTTTGTATGTGTGGTGTGTGCGTGTGGGGTATGTGTGTGTGATGTGGTGTGCGTGTGGGGTATGTGTGTGTGATGTGGTGTGCGTGTGGGGTATGTGTGTGTGATGTATGTGTGTGTGTAGCATTACGTCATTGTAATGTCATACAAATCTGGACAAAGCATCGTAGAAGTTGAAAAGGAAGGTGATGAACTGATGTAAATTGATTCTTTCTGTGGGCATCGCGTTCCAACACTGTGACGTCATCATGTACCTGTCCGCAGTGGCGGGTAGGTTGTTGATTGCGTTAGTGGCACTGTTTGTGCTGGTGTTTTTGTATTTTTCGCGCGATTTTGTTTGGTGCTAAAAAAACGACAACTAATGTAACGACAACAAAAAATCGCCAACATCTCATTCGGACAGCTTCTTGGCTGGGTCAACTTGTAGCCTTTGATCACGTGGTCTATGACGTCAGAGTTCCTCGTGAATTGTTCGTACGGCGTCGAAGCCAGGCTGAATGTTTCCCATGCTAGAACACCTAGCGACCACTTTAAAAAAATGTTTTTGGAAAAATATTATTACTGAACTATTAAAAATACTAAATAACTAAGTTTTATTATTTTGAAATTTATTTAAAACAAAACAGATAAATTTTTGATACAAACAACTGAACAAAACACTGACAACATCCGAATGGTATGTGTGTCCACTGTCGTCCTGAATGACTTCCGGTGCAGACCACCTGACCGGAAGCTGACCTCTACCCGGAAGTAGATGGAAGTCATCTGGGAACAGGTCACATGACAGGAAAGAGTCTCCAAGTTTGACTTGTAAATTGTTGTTGATCCTAAATAAGATTTTGTTTAAAAAATTGTTACTTTAAACCGTATTTAAAATATTTTTTCAAAATTTATTTAGATTTCAATTCACATGCACATGCACACACACACACAACATATTACACACATACACACCTGCATCAAACTTTCAACTAAATAGCCCAGCAACAACTAACCAACCAGTCAGCCATCCAGTCAAAAAACTAACCAACAATTTCTCGTCGCAACATCCTTATGTAAGATACCTTTGCCGTGCATGAATGAAAGACCTCGTGCTATCTGTAGGACTATATATGTTTGCTGCTGAGGGTTCAAAGCCTGCAAATCAGGTTACAATTTTCATTATTTTTGTATTTTTAATTACAACCTAAAGATAATTTAGAATAAATGTAATGTAATTATTATTCATATCATTATTATTTTAATGTATAGTTCAATTACACTCATTGCGCTTCGGCTGTGGTTACATTTTTTCATTGCATATACACCCACACCACACACACACACACACACACACACACACACACACACAAACAAACAAACACACAAACGAACACACACGCACGCACACACACATATATACATACACACTCACACACACAAACGCCATTCAATCCAATTCAATGCTCATCAAAAAATGTAACAAAATTGCAGAATGCTAAAAGTTTTAGTGGGGCGCTTCTAACCAACCTCACGATCTCTACCTCTGAGAAACAATTTCAAGTTATCCATCCTAGTGGAATCTTCGTAGATAACCAATCCAGGTACTGACGTAATGTTGGATGCTAATAACAGGGTGAGGTTTGGGTGAGTTAGGTGACGTAGTAAACATGCTTCCGCCATTGGTTTTTCCAGATCTTCGGTGGAAATGATGATTACGATAATGAGGCGATGATTCTGTTTATTGTAAGGGTAATGATGGTAAACTAACTGTTGAAAATTTTAACCAGCACATCTCTATATTGGTGGGCGGTTCCATCTTGTGAGGCCACAGTCAGCTGACCTCTCGTTATTCTCGCGCCAAAACCTTGAGTAATAATATTTTCATCATATTCATTTCTGTTTGTATAAATGGACGGATGGTTAGTATTTCAAGTATTCAAACCTGCAAGCATAAGTGACGTCATTAATACATAACTTATTCATACATGTAAGTAGTTATAAATATACACACACATACAAACTGACAAATATATACACACACACATACAAACACATACACACACACACACGCATACACACGCAGAAATAAATCAATGTTTACATATAAACACAAATACAAACCTTCCAGAATGCCCTCATTTAGAAAGACATCTGACCTACTTATGCTGGCCTCATTAAGATGATACACTGCTTCCGATTGGCTGGGTGAATTTAAGGGAGGCGGAAGTAGGTGAGGAAAAGTGGAATGATGGTAAATTTGGTTAGGGGTGGATATGAGTGTGGGGCTGATGATAGAAGAAAGGGGTTGCTGATTGGTGGCTGGGTAGATTGGTTGGCTGTAGGTGGGGTAGGAGTTATGCGGGCGGTACGTTATAGAGGATGTGCCTTTTTATTTGGGTAAAATTTTATTTTATTTATTTTTTATTTTTATTTTATTTTATTTGTTTCAAAATTATTTTGTAACTATTCTTATTAGCATTTTTATTTATGGTTATTTATTTATTCATTTATAATATAAAACTTATTAAGTTTGTTAATATTAACTATAATTATTATTATTAAATTTTGTCGTTATGATTAATGTTATCATTATACACTTATCGTTATGGTCGTTATTACATTTTAAAAGTATTTATAACAGAACTGAAACAGTTTATTGTGGTTCATTCAAAACTGAATTTTAAATTTTTAACATAAATTTTAAAATGATAATTTTTCAAAAATCAAACATCTGCAACCTGATGTTAAACTTTCGTTGGTTGGTGAGTATATTGGCTGTTGTTGCTGTTGGTGGTGGTTGGCGTTGCTGCTACTGCTACTGTTGTTGAAGTTGTTGTTGTTGTTGTTGTTGTTGTTGTTGCTGTAACAACGAATGTTTGATTGGTGTGGTTGTTGTTGTTGCTGCTGCTGAAATGTCGTACACTCGTTCGGGTAAGACGCGCTATTCTCATGGGCGATCAATTTTTGTTTAATTTGAGTATAAAATAAATGTAAAAAAAATATGAGTATGAAAAAGTAAAAACAAAAATCATAAAAATAATAAAAATAATAAAAACCAAAAAACTGCAAACCAAACGCTAGACGGTCTCTTTGGTTTATTAATCTTGTTTCTAAAGAGACAACATACAAAAAGGATGATGAGAATTAGGATGATACCAGCTCCACAGCCCAGCAAGATGTAGTAGGTTTGTTTTTGGGAGCCGTCCAACCATGGTGAATTATCATTTCCACCATTTTTCTCATCACTAATGATGTCATCATTTTTTTCTCTGTCGTCATCGTCGTCAATGTTGTTGTCGTCGTCGTCATCATCGACGACATCATCGTCGTCGTTGTAGTTTATTTGAATGTTTTTGAAGTTTAGTCGGTTTGGGTTGTTGTTGTTGTTGTTGTTGTGGTTGTCGATGAGGTTATTTATATTTTTATCGTCGACAGTCACGTGATTTTTAAGATTATTGTTGTTGTTGTTTGATGTTTTCAAACAAGACTTTCGACGTTTTATAACAACCGACAAGTCTTTGCTGTTATTGTCTCCGCTACCCTGCTTGTTAATTCTATTTTTCGTTTGTTTATTGTTGTTATTGTTGCTGTTATTGTTGTTGATGTTGTTGTTGTTATTGATGCTGTTGTTGGGGCGGATAGTTTGTTTGTAGTTGAGGTTGAAATTGAACCTGATGCCAACTTCAACTTCAGAAATCGTATCCTCCTTGCAAGAGAGTGTTATCCCAAAAGCTGAAAAATAGAAATAGAAAAAGAAGTCGTCGTCGTCATCATCGTTATCATCATTATCATTCCAACGATATTAATATCATTATCATTAAAACATTGTCATCCTCATCTTCATTGTCATCATTACAACATCATCATCATATGGTTATCACATCATCATCATCGTTGTCATCAACATCGTGATAATAATAAAATAAAGCCATTGATAAGAAAGATTTTTGTAAAGTTTACAACGTAACCAATGTTACAGCTGCTAATTGTTGCTTGTAAGTACTGTCTAAACTATCTTCATGTCATTATCTTGAAGATATCATCATTGTTTTTTTATATCATTGTTGATATTGCTATCATCAAGTTTATTATCATCATTATCAACTTGTCATCCTCATCATCGTCATTATCATTATTATCATTATTGTTGTTAGTATCGTCATCATCAACAACAACAATGACAACATTATTATCATCAACAACGACAACATCATAATCACAATCATTAACAACATCATCATCAACAACGACAACATCATAATCACAATCATTAACAACATCATCATCAACAACAACATCATCATCATAGTTGTCATCATCATCTCAGCTATCATCAGCGAGTCAATAAATAAGATTATCAATCAAAAAGTTAAACAATGCGTTATGTATGAATGCGTAGAGCAAATAAAAATAATCCATCATTGCCACGTCATCATCATCGTCGTCGTCATCACCACCTAACCATCATTATCATCATTTCATTATTGTTATTACTGTTTCTATTGCTATCTTTATCGTCTTTTTTGTTTCTCATTCATATCATTGAAGAGGATGATGATGATGATGATGAGGAGGAGGAGGAGGAGGAGAAGGAGTAAGATGATGATGATGATGATGATGATGATGACGATGAAGATGATGAGGAAGATGATGATGATGAGAATGAGAGGAGGCTGATAACAAGAGCGTGAAAATTTTGCGTATAACGACAGGGCAACTTTACTCGTTTGCTACATCATCGTAAATACCGAAGCATAAATAAGACTTAATGAATAAATATGTGTGGCCGTGTCTGCGTGTGTGTATGTGTGCGTGTCTGCGTGTGTGTATGTATGCGTGTCTGCGAGTGTGTATGTGTGCGTGTCTGCGTGTGTGTATGTATGCGTGTCTGCGTGCGTGTATGTGTGCGTGTATGGGTTTTTATTGGATAAATCAGAAAAAAGTATGAAGTAAATAAGAAATAGATAATGAAATAATGAAATAAAGAGAATATAGATAATTGTGCCAGAGAAAAGATAAAAAACAGCAATTCAAAAAGAGTAGCAAAGAGAGAAGATACAATAACGCAGCAAAAAAAGAGAGAAAGAGAGAGAGAAAGAGAGAGAAAGAATATAAGAAAAAAATAGAAAAATAGATCGAAAAAAGTAAGAAAAGAGACAAACAGGAAAAAGAGGAGAAGAATAAAATAGAGATTATGTTGAGGTTAAAACTGACTTGAAAGTTTATAAGGGACCCTTCCTTTTTGAGGGACTGTCAGTTGTGGCCGCATGAGGACATCATCTTTCGAGGGTTCAATCCCTATTGAGTACGATATCTGGTTGTGTGTGTGTTTGTGTTTCTTTATTTGTGTGTGTCCATTTTTATGTGTGTTTTTGTGTGTTTCTGTATCTTTGTTTGTGTGCGTGTGTGTTTGTTTGTTTGTATGTGTATGTGTGTTTGTTTGTGTGTGTGGGTGTGTGGGTGAATACGATACCCAATTGAATACGATGTCTGGTTCTATGTGCTTTTGTGTGTATGTGTGTGTGTTTGTGTGTGTGTCTGTTTTTGTATGTGAAAATATACTAACGATGATGTCGCTGTTGAGGTTCTGCCAATCAAAGAAGACCTCATTCATATCTTCTGCCAGTGGTACGTTGAACTCCAGCGCGTAATCGTTCACCGTTCCGTTCAGTATGTACTTCAGTGTTCCTGGTACACCTGAATTGGTTGGTTGGTTGGATGGTTGTTTGGCTGGTTGGTTGGTTGGTTGGTTGGTTGGTTGTTTGGTTGGTTGGTTGGTAGGTTGGTTGGATGGGTGGTTGGATGGTTGGTTGGTTGGTTGGCTGGTTGGTTGGTTGGTTGGCTGGCTGGTTGGTTGGTTGGTTGGTTGGATGGCTGGTTGGATGGTTGGTTGGTTGGTTGGTTGGTTGGTTGGTTGGTTGGTCGGTCGGTCGGTTGGTTGGTTGGTTGGTTGGTTGGTTGGTTGGTTGGTTGGTTGGTTGGTTTGTTTGTTGGTTGGTTGGTTGGTTGATTGGTTCGTTCGTTCGTTCGTTTGTTGGTTGGTTCATTGGTTCGTTGGTTTGTTGGTTCGTTGGCTGGTTGGTCGATTAATTATTTGGTTTAATTGGTGGAATTGGTTAAATTAGTGTCAGGTTTGAAAATTACATAAGAAACAGGATAAAAATTAAAATTTCTCCTTCACTCTTCTTGCTAAATAAATTGAATGAAATGTTTTTAACAGTGCCACTTTTGAAACACCAGGATTAACACAAATAATGAACAATACGGAGAGCCCATCGTATGTACCAAGTATTGATGTAATAATTAAGGTATTGAGCCATTACTTAAATTACAAGTATCATAAAGTGTGTCTGTGTATCACACATTCTCACAACAGTTAGAAACATGGAAGAAAGTATTAAAAATAAAAAACTGATAAAATATAAACTAAAACGGTGCGAAGAACGCACTGTACGTACCTCTTCACTCAACACTTTGCACTTTTTTCTCTTCTAATTTATCCATTCATTCGTTTATCCATTAATTCATTCAGTCATTCATCCGTTCATTTATTCATTTGCTCATTCATATTCATTCATTCATGCATGCATTCATTCATTCATTCATTCATTCATTCATTCATTCGTTCATTTCATTCATTCGACTTATTGGTTCATTCATTTGTTCGTTCATTTGCTAAATTATGAGAACATAATCTATTGAGCAGAACAATCTTATTGGAAAACTGTAAACTATTATTATTTCTATTTCTAGTGAACAAGCAAAAATAATAATAATAATAATGAATAATTCCTCTAATTATGTTATCGTAAACATAAAAAAAATTAAGGAAATAAATAAAATGTTTTTGTAGGTCTTGATCTAGAAAAACGTTATTTTTATACCTATGTAACAAACCACACGTGTCTGTGCGTGTGTGTCTGTGTGTGTGTGTGCGTGTGTGTGTGCGTGTGTGTGTGTGCGTGTGTGTGTGTATGTGTGATATGTTATTTATTTGTGTAAATGTGCTAGCGAATGTTTGATATATGTGTGGTTATTTGTTGATCTGTGTAAAATAATTATTTTATGTGTAAATATGTATGTGTGTGTGTGTGTGTAAGTGTGTTTTTCAATGTATTACATTTTATTCTTAGATTTTTTTTTGCTATTATCAGCACAAAAAATTCTTCAATAACTTTTTTTAATTCCAAGGCTGTTTTTCTGTTACAGATTCACACGAAAAGCCGAAAACCAGCTGATTTCTCGAAAAAAATTATTATTATCATTGTTAAACAAATAATTATAATTGTATGTAGTAGTAGAAGTAGTAGTGGTAGTAATATTAATATTAGTAGTAGTTGTAGTAGCTACAACATCAGCAACAACAGCAGTAGTGGTAATTGTGGTAGTATGAAAATTTTTGAAAAATTGTAAACACATCAGAGAGCATTCGTTCAAAGTTTAGCGAGAATATTTTTCAAAAAAATTTTCACATTTAAATTCTATTTTCACCTCATTTTTCCGTCTTCATCATGATACTTTCGACCATTAATAATTTGAATTTGGAGTGATGGAGATGACGACGACGAAGATGATGATGATGTTTGGGTATGAGTTTGTTGGTTTGTATGTATGTTTGTTTGTTAGTTTGTTTGTATGTTTGTTTCTATATTTGTATGTATGTTTGTGTGTATGCATTTGCGTATACGGACGTTAGTTAATGTTTGGACGTTAATACCATTGTATTCAAGTCGAGATATAATTTTTCCGAAACAGTATATGTTTGCTTATGTGAGTTACAGAGATATATTACCTGTTTATTAAATAAGGCTGATGATGATGGTGGTGATGATGACGATGAGGACGATGACGATGATAATGATGACTGATGATGGTGCGGTCATGATGACAATGATGTGATGACTATGACCTCATAAATGTTAATGTTAACAATCATCATTTTGATAGAGATAATGATATAGATATTACGAAGATGATGATGATGATGATGATGATGAAGGTGGTGGTGGTGAGAAACACGTGATGATGGTGATGATTTTTAATCCATCAGGTCACACGTACAATCTTATATTACATTTTTTAATTTAATAAGGGCCGAATGTAAACACGCAAAAATGATGATGACGACGACGAAGACGATGATGACAATGATGATGATGACGATGTAGACAACAACGATAAAGACACACGTGGTGATAATGATAGTTAGTAGCAGCGGTGATGATGACGATGATGACGCTGAAAATGAAAATTGCTTTTAATAAATTTTCTTTTTATGTTGTTTCAAAATAATTACATTCAAAAGTACCAGCAAACACTCGCCTTGTTAAGTCAGTCATGCTATCATCTGTTAAGTTTTGTTGCCATCACTACCATCACCACCATCATAGTCATCATCATCGTCATCATCATTCTCAGCATCGTCATCACTTTTTTATTATCATATACATTATTATCATCTTCGTTGTTTCAACGAGGTAGTTTTGATACGTTATTTTTTCAACATAATCATCATGTCATCATCATCTCATCATCTAATGCTTAAATTATTTTCAACAACATTTTCATATTTGTGTGTGTCTGTGTGTGTGCATATTTATGTGTGCATGTGTGTGTGTAGGTGTGTGTATGTGTGTATGAATATACACAGGCAACATTTTAAAAGGTTTTTTTTCAAATTTACTGATAAAACAGTCGGAATGGCAATGTGCGATCTCAAATAAATTGTTCGCAAGATAAAAAGCACTTCACTTACTCACATGGGAACAATTTCATATATATTCAAAATTTCATATGTGCACACATAAACACACGCTTATTTCATTTCATTCTTTGTCATATATATATATATATATATATATATATATATATATATATATAATGCCCGTGCATGTGTGTGTTTTGTGTTTAAGTGTGTGTGTGTGTGTGTGTGTGTGCGTGTGCGTGTGGCGAGTTAGAGGAAAAATATTAAAGAGTGAAATTATTTTTTGTGAATTTTTTTGACTAAACTAAATTTGAACACTTGTATAAAATTAGAAAAAGAGGAAAGTGAAAGAGAGAGAAAGAAAGAGAGAGGAAAAAATAGAGAGAAAGAGAAAGATAGAGTGCATAAATTCCATAAAGAAAATAGCTTGGAATCGATAAGATGAATGAACTGGTGTCCATTAAATCACACTTCGACAGTTTATCTCACAATGAATGGAATGTTTGCTTCCATGATGTTGACTAGCTGGTTGGTTGGTTGGATGGTTAGTTGGTTGGTTGGTTGATTGGTTGGTTGGTTGGTTGGTTGGTTGGTTGGTTGGTTGGTTGGTTGGTTGGTTGGTTGGTTGGGTGGTTGGTTGGTTGGCTGTTGTGGTGGTTGCTGTGTGGCTGTTGTTGTGTGGTCCTTGGCTGATAGTTGTTTGTTTTCATTAATGTCTTAGATTTCATGTTTGTAATGTTGGTTATTCTTGCTGCTTTAAAATGTATCTATTTTAAAATAGATTGTTAAATTATAAACGCTGATGAAAGTTTCAATTAATATTTAGAAAACTAAAAGTTCATGCGTTGGCTGCTGCTTGGACCAACGGAACAATGGACTCACTAGATACATTTTTATAATTTTACTATGGTCAGTGCTCTGACATTTGTTTCTCTTGAAGTTTTTGTTGCTAGATAAAATTTTGTCTTCTTGTGTTTTGTGTCTTTCTGTATTAAATTGCACCCCGACGGGCTGTCTGGTAGGCTGACGAAGTATAACATGATGGCGTTGATTAGTTAGTGGCTGGACAGTTCAGTCATTTGAATGCAAATTTTGGAAATGAAAAAATACTAGATAAGATGAAAATTATGGACAAAAATTAATAATAAAACTGAAAAAATAAATAAATAAAAATATATAAAAATAAATGGACGATAATATGAAAAAAGGAAATTCAAATTTGTCAAGCGTTACGTCACTAGAGGCATTATTTTCCAACAAATATCAAAACGACAAGAAAGAATATATGATGACTTGAGGGACGTTATATTATCTTTGCTGGTTTATTTGTTTTTTGTTGTTTGTTGACTCTTTATTTATTTATTTATCTATGATGAGGTCATTATTACAATTATTTCATCAACCAATTTTAAAAAAATTATTCATTTATTTATCCATACATTCATTTATTCATCCATTCATCCATTCATCCATTCATCCATTCATTCATTCATGCATTCATTCATTCGTGCGTTCATTCATCCGTCAACCCTTCAGTCTTTCCGCCCATCCATCCACGCTTCACTAAATGTTCATTGATTTATGTGACGCGTGAAATAGCATAGATAGTGATGATAATGTTAGAAAAACGATGACGACGATGATGATGATGACGTCACGACTACGACGATGACGTCACGAACACTTAATTAAGTAATGCAGATCGTATCGTTCGTGGGAGATATTGTTTGGGGAAAAAAAACAAAGTCATGATGATGATGATGAGATAATGATAATGTTAGTGGTGATAATGATGATGACCTAATGAGAAAAAATACTGGCGAAGATTGAGATGATTGTGTTTGTGTTAATGTATGTGTGTGTGTGTGTGTTTGTATGTATGTCAGTGTGCGTTAATGTGTGTGTGTGTTTGTATGTGTGTTTATGTGTGTGTGTGCGTGTGTTTGTGCATGTGATCATAAACACAAAATAGGATTCAAAATACATTAAAAACTTCACAATGAAGATGACGACGACGATAACGATGACTACGTCAATTAAAATGATAAATGCAATGAGCTAGATAATTTATTGCACCAATTTTACACTTGTGTGTTTTGTCTGTTTTGTGTGTGTATGTGTCTGTACGTGTGTGTGTCTGTGTGTGTACGTGTATGTATAGGTTATTGTTACACGAAGGTCTATTGACTTTAATGAATCGTAATTACCGGCAGATGTTGCGTATCATTTAGATTGAATGATCAACTGAATGGATGGATGGATGGATGGATGGATGGATGGATGGATGGATGGATGGATGGATGGATGGATGGATGGATGGATGGATGGATGGATGGATGGATAAATGGATGGATAAATGGATGGATAAATGGATGGATAAATGGATGGATAGATGGATGGATAGATGGATGGATAAATGGATGGATAAACGAATGGATAAAATTTTAAAAAGAAAGAAAGAAAAAATGAGAATGTATAATAAATGATTTAGGTAGTGTGATAACAAAAGTTAATTTAATAAAAACCATACAAACCAATTATTAAACATATGAACAATAGAGCAAACTAGCAA